GGGGCCGAGCAGCACTGGGAAACGCGAAGCTCAAGTACTCCTGGGTCGCGATGGTTGCCTGGCGCAGGAGGAGTCCTCGCAAGGTGTCTTGGCGCAGTTTGTCTTGGTTGCGGACTACCCAGTCGAGTCGCATAGCTTCCACCTTCGCGTAGGCGTCGCAAGTGTATTGCTGGAAAAGGCGGCCAGTCGAGTGCGGCATCTCGACCACGTCAGTATCGTGCGGATGCCTCTGCATGAGCCGTTGGGCGTAAACGTAGCCATCGAGATTTTCGTCTGCGGGGCGCCGCCGCCGCCTCGTGTATGGAGAGCGGTCGACTATCCCAGCGTGCCTTCGACATGCACCAGAGGGTACGTTAGGGGGTCCACGTGTTCCGAGAGGTAGGACAACTCGTGCGTCTGGCCCTGGCCCTCTGCGCTGGGACGTTCGAACATGGAGATGAAGTTCGGAGGCAGGGGACCTTCCCCGGCGATTGCGACGGCGACTCCGACAGCGCTGGGGGCGTTGTAACGCCGAGGGTCTTTCTCGATGCCGCCCGAGAACCGGAGCACATGCTCAGGAGCAGCGTCGCCATGGGCAGTTCGGCTTGTTTGGGCGACGTCGTGCATGCGCTTGAATTTTGCGGGATATGGGTTTCGTGGTCGCATGGCCGCGCTGGCTTGGTCGAGGGGGCCGCGCTCAGGGGACGTGATGGGCACGTCGTGCACCAACATGTCCAACAACTGTCGCAGGACTGAGGCGTCGAGGGTGGGAAACAAGTTTGCCCTGAGTTGAGATGCTTGTTGGGGGTCGTAGATGTAGAGCTGGGCAAATTTGGGTGCTGCGGAGGAAGGCGGGTGCAATGTGCCTGTTGCGCGGCAGGCTCGTCCGTGCAGGATGAACACGGGTGGGCCTCTGGAGTTCCCGGGGGCGCGGGGGCGATCGTCTGTTCCGGTGTACTTGTCGTTGACGGAGGCAAAACTGAGGGCGCAGTTGTGCGACCCATGTGTGCCGCGAAATCTGCGCGGGCGGAACCAAGTCTCAGGAGCTCGGCCAGCGGCGACGGCGCAGGCGGGGGAAGAGGAATGTCTGCGACCTTTCCCAGGTGGCAGCAGCGTGTGAAATACCTGCCAGGGCGGGGCCCATCGGGGGACGCTTGCAGGCGTTCGTTTTGAAAGTGCAGCGCCCCGCAGAATGAACAGGAATGCTCATAAAATGGCCCGTGGGCGACAGAGCGACGCGTCGTACTTTTCGGGGCCTCCAGTCGTCCAGGGAACGCCGGCCAGCTCGGTGCCCGATGCGGACTCCAGCATTCACGTGACGCGTAGATTCGTCGAACCAGAAACGGTGGATCTTGCAGGCGCGGTGAGTACCTTTTCCTCTGAGGCGGGCGTGGGCAGCAGGGCGGCCGCGCCAGGATACGCAGCGCGGCGGCGACTGTTGCTCTTGGCGGTGGGCTCGGACGAGGCGAGCGACCTCTCGGCGCAGGAGTGTGGCGATGGTTCTGGCGCGCGCAGGCTCGCAGGGTGCTTTCGAGGAAACCCGATCTCTGCCATTTGTTTCCGCTGGCAAGCAGGTGGCGTGCTGACGACAGAGGCCGCGCGAGTGGAAAGCTTTTGGCAGGGTAGCGCGGCAGCCAGGGAACGCACATCGGGGTCGGCGGCACTTTTCGCACATGCCGCTGTTTCCGGGCAGAGCTCGGCGCACTCCTTTTGCTAGGTGGTTGGTGCACTTCGTCCCCGACCGCCCTTTGCAAGGCGGACCCACTGTCGGCGCGATTGACATTGCGTCTTTGCACTGTCGGACCCCACTCGCAAGGCGCATCCGAGGCGGAGGTGCACGCAGGGAGGACCACGAGAAGGGCAAGCCTTACAGGTGAGAGCCGAGCTGCGACTGTCGACGGTTTGGTTGCATCCAAAGGCGGCGTTATCACACGTGCGAGTCGCTCTCGGGTTGCGAACCGATTGTGCTTGAGGCCCTTGTCGCATGCACTTCGAACGCAAGCCATCGGCGCGGGGGGTGGAGCGCCCAGGACACCCGTGTGTAGAGCAGGGGAAAGACGACGTGAGACACAGACAGCACCTTGAGTCACCGACGCCATGGATTACATTGGAGCAGGAGGGAGTGGTGCAGATGTTCAGCGCAGGAGGGGGTTCGCATACGAAGCAGAATGAGCTGCGGGAAGTCTTCGCGCGGAAGTTGCACGCCACTGTTTGGCATGGGGCTAGGCCAAGGGCACACGCGGTGCATTTGGGGCAGGACGCATGGGAAGGCACACGCATGAGTTGTTGGGAACAGCGAGGCGTGGCGCAGGACATGGGGCTGGATACGGCAGGAGAGTCATCGGCAAGTGAACTGGGCGGTTGCGATGCTCCAGGCCCGGGCTGAGCGCGGCACATGCCGCGTAAGTCCGGTGTTTGCTCAGAGCCGCGGCGACGAAAACACAGGGAACATGGGCGTGCGTTTTGCAGGCAGTCGGGGCACAAGTGCTGGCCCTCCCCGCGGTTTACCAAATTGGGGCATCCAGTTGCCGAGCATGTTTTGGGATTGGCGGGGTCATGGAGGCACCTGCGGGCAGCCGTAGACGCGCAGGGGGGATGCGTTTGGCCAAGGCTCTTTTTCGCGGCAGCTGTGCAAAGGATGAAGGATGAGCAGCCGAGGCACGCAAATCGGCATGGGAGATGACCAGCGGAGCACGCGTGGCATTTTCCTGCAGTTCGTTTCATGGGCAGTTCGTGGCAGCCGAGTCTGCGATTCGAACATCTCGCCGTGGCAGGGGTCGGCGCAGTGGAAAGTGCAAAACTTCGGCACCGCGGAATTACCGAAGGGAGGCGCGGCCGGCGAAGTGCATCGGTCATGCTCGCAGAGGGGGCGGGCAGCGCAGGAGGGGCCGACTGGCAGTCGGCCTCTGGTGGACGTGCTTGACTTCTTCGGTCGAGATTTGAAGTGACTGCAACTGGGGAAGTTCACGCAGGCATCCCGGGGACGAGTGGAGACCTCCGGCACGGACACAATGAACTCTCAGGCGAAGTCAACGCGCCTGAAGCGGCGCTCGTCCCAATCATCAATTTCCTCCTCCTCCTCCGCCTCCTCCTCTTGCAAAAGCAACCTATCGAAGAGCATCTGAATGTCAAATGCACGAAGAATGAAAAATAGTCCACGACGACGACGAGGACGACGATTAAGACAGCAAATACAGCCGGCGTCCATGCGAGAGCGCCCGGACCACATTCCAGAGATCATCAATCATTAGTCTCTACAAGTGAGCATTCGATCACGAAGACGACGACGACGGCGGCGGCGGTGGACGGCCATGCTGCCTTTGCGGCACGCGGGCTGCGGCGCCGCAGCGGCTGGGCCGCCGCACGAGCGGAGACGGCCGCTGCGAATCGCGGGTAGCGGCCAGCGCTCGCCGCGGTGCTCGCACGGGGGCAGGAGGGCCGCCACGACCAGGCTCGCAGAGGAAGTGGCCGCAGCACGACACGGAGGGAACGGTCGCCGGTGACGGGGGCAGCAGGGGAAGCCAGGCGACAGAGGCGGAGGAGGGACAGGCAGGAGAGAGGGAAGCGAACGAGGAAGGCAGCAAGGAAGGAGCGGTGGGAGACGCATCGTCCCCCGATGTCGTCGATTGGACAGCAGAAGCTGTCCCGGAGGCGCATGAGATTCCTCGCGGTGAGTCTCTCAGGGGCCTCCTGGAAGCAGATCCGAAGCCTCTTGTGACCCGTGTGTGTGCCTGTTCGAAGTTGGTTTGGGGCATCCTGGGGGTCTCTCGGGGGCTTCCTGGCGGCTTCTTGGGGGTCTCTTGGAGTGTCCTGGGCGCCTCCTGGGGGCCGCTTGGGGCCTCCTGGGAGCCTCTTGGAGCCGAAGGCTCGAGAAGTCCGCGAAGATCCCGCGTCAGGACCCCTTCTTGGAGCCGTCTTGGGGCCGTCTTGGGCCGTCATGGGGGCATCGTGGGCCGTCTTGGGGCCGTCTTGGGCCGTCTTGGGGCCGTCTTGGGGCCGTCTCAGGCCGTCTTGGGGCGGTTTTGGGGGCCTCTTGGGCGGTCTTGGAGCGTCCGATCTCCGAAAAGGCGAGAACCCAAAAAACCTTCAAAAACCATGGATAAACAATGTTTTTTGCCTCTTGGGACCCTCTTGGGAAGGCCTCTTGGAGACCGCTAGCCGCGTTTTGGAGGCCACTGAAGCCGTCTTGGGATCATCGTGGGCGTCTTGGAGCGATCTTTGGGCGTCTCGGGGCCCTCTGGGACCACTTGGGGGCCTCCTCGGCCTTCTTGGGGCCGTCTCGGAGCCCCTGGGGACGCAGCCCGGGGAGGGACCCACGCATATACAAGGGAGGTTCCGGCCCGGGGCGCGGGGGCCCGGATCTCCCATATGTTTATATGTTTATATATACATATATATATATATATACATACATACATACATACATACATACATACATACATACATATACATATACATATACATATATATAAATATATAGTAGATATGCACAGAGATACTTACATTTACATGTTTATATATACATATACACACATATGCTTCTCCGAGCAGAGCCATGAAGCAGAGCCGAAACTAGGATGCAGCGGAGCCCAGTCGAAATCGCCAGCGGCCTTTTGCCGAACATGTAGGCAGCGGCTGATGCCGAACAGAAGCGTCACACTGACAGCGAAGAGTTGTGCGAGAAGAAGCGCTGTCAGCCATCGTCCCCCCCGCCCCCGCCCTCCCACCTTCACACCCCCTTCCATGCGCCGCCCACGCCACGTCCTGCTGTGCCATTTCAACCATACGCTTCCACGGCGACAGCAATAGCGAACAAAACGACCGAACCGACAGCGATTACCGACACCGACCAAAACCGACAGGCCGAGCGCAGCCTGCAAGGACGCGGAGACGCGACGGCCGGCCGAACCGAACCGAACCGAGCGCAGCCGACTGCGACACAGCCCACCGAACCGAGTCGCGGACACCGCCGTCCTCCCCCTTCCGGACGCGCTCCGTGCCCTGGACGCCCCACCGCCGTCCTGCACGCAGCCGCGCTGCCGAGCAAGCGCGCCTGGGCGCAGCCGCCGGCGCGCGCCCGCGCGCGGCCGCGCCGTGCCGCTCCTCTGAGACGAGCCCCCGACCCTCCGCGGGGTGCAGCTGGAGAGGCGTGCTGATCCTGGCCGGGCCCGTATTGGGCCCAGAATCGACGGGTACGCCCCCCTGGCCTGGCGAGGACTGCACGTGCACCGATTCTGGGCCGAGGATGGGCCTGGCAGGACCTCCGACCCTTCCCCCTGCGCGAGCTATACTGCGGGCACAAAAGGAAACTCCCCTGCAGACGGATATCCGTGGAACATGTGAGCAGCTGCTTCGGCTGCTGCCGCTGCTTGCTGCTACTTGCTGCTGGTTGCTGCAGCCTCCCGTTGCGGGCTGCTGCTTGCTGCTGCTGCCCAGTCAAAGTGGGGGGTTTGGCCCATCTCGAACAGATTGAAGCGTGAGGGAAATCAGCTCGCTGTCGCAGCCGTGGAACTTCGATCATTGCATAGGATGACCAGACCCTGGTCGCACAGCAGACAAAGATCAGAAAATGTAATGCGGCAGCGGAATACGAGGATGAACTTCGCATGGCAAGCGCTTTCAAACCGTAACGAGAAGCAGTCAATATCTGGTTGATAACACCAACATGATAATGTGTAGCGCACAAACGATAGCTACAGATACGGAGGGAAACGGATCAGCACGACGACGACATGAGGACGACGATGCCAATAACGACAAGGAGAGACAGCAAGGATTTCGAAACGGGCTCGCGTTCCCAGACCTCCGACGGCTTGATATTTTCAACCCGCGGACCCCAGAGCCTCCAGAGGTCTGGACCCTTTTTCTTTCCAAGGTCCACTTCTTCATCCAAGACAAATATTTTGATTACACTTGGGCCTGAAAACGGCCCCCGGAACCAAAAAATGGTGGAAGATCACCATTTTCGATTTCTGAAGACGTTGGAGGCCTGGGCTCTCCTTCTCTCCTGCGATGATCCTCTGGCGACAACGGGCATTACCAGAGGGGGGCGGAGGGCGGGGAGTGGCCAATGACGTCACGATTTGCGCCAGCGCCGCATGGGAATCAGTTAACGCTTAGCAATCTCTAGACGGCGCCGGCGCGAGTCGTGACGTCACCAAGGGAGGTGGGGGAGGGGAGGGGGGCGGTGATGATGCAATCGTCACCGTTCTGCCGTATCGGTTTCCGAGCCTCAACGTAGCCCACACACGGCCGATCGGGACATCAGCATCGCTGGTCTGAAGCTCTGGCCGAACTCCAGCTGCCAGAGTGGGCCTCGGCCCTCCAGGGGGCGAAGAAAACAGCAGGAGGGCCAGGGAAAGGTCTTCTTACCGGGGTGGAGTGGGAGGGGGAAGAGAGGGGGGTGCTGTCGCGAGAGGCTGTTTCCCCCACGGCGGTCTGCAACACTTTGGGCGGCGGGGGGCGCAGCGAGGAAGACAAGCCGGGGGCCGCGGTAGCTCCTGGGAGATCACCCCGTACCTGGCAGGCCGCCGCGCGCGGGCGCGCGGCCCACCCGCACCGCTCGATGGGTCTAAAGCGTGCACTGGAGGTCGAGGGCGCTGGACATGGATGTACGTAGCACCCCGCAGTTGCGGATAAGAGTGAGGGGGCGGCGAGGACGTCGGCAGCCTGCGAGGCTTTGGAGAAGCCCGCCGCAAGCGCCGATTTTTCTGTAAAAGCAACGTGGGTGGGTCGCGGGATGGGTCGCGGGTGGGTCGCAGGTGGGTCGCGGGTGGGTCGCGGGTGGGTCGCGGGCGGGTCGCGGGTGGGTCGCGGGCCGGGTCGCGGGGGGGACGACGACAAACAACAACAACAACAACAACAACAACAACAACAACAACAACAACAACAACAACAACAACAACAACAACAACAACAACAACAACAACAACAACAATCATTTTAAGACTGTTCGCCCTTATCTGCTCGAGTGTCGAATAACGCGAATTTCCCAAACCCTCGATACCCGCCCTTTTCGTTTTTGATCGAACCCATTTTGGGGGGCATACTTTTCTTCCCTGCAGGCCGGGCCCCGGCAAGCGGCAGGGCGGCCGCGGACCGTCGGCCTGGCCAGCGGCAGCGCTGATCGGCGGGGCGGCCGCGGACCGTCGACCCGACCCCAAGAGGGACGGACACGGGACCGACCACGACGACGACGACGACGAGCGAAAGCGAGAGCGAGAGAGAACGACAGCAGGGCCACGAGGAACACGAGGTAGGCCACGAAGGGCGACAGCGGGGACACGAAGGGAATGCGTATGGGGCCACGAAGAGCGCGAACGAGCGTGGGCCACGAAGGGCAGATAATGCGGGGCCACAGAAGGCAACGATGGGGCCAATGAGGGTAGCACCTGGGCCACGTAGGACAATGAGGGGGCCACAAACGGCGACAGCAGGGCCGCGAAGGGCATGCATAGGTTGGGCCGCGAAGGGTAAGGACGGGGCCACTGAGGGCAGCAACGGGGACACGAAGGGCAGCGAGGGGGCCACAAAGAGCGACAGCGGGGCCACGAAAGGCATGCATATGGGGCCACCACGGGCGCGAACGAGCGGGGGCCACGAAGGGCATACATACATGGGGCCACGAAACAAAGCGAGGGGGCCACGAAGGGCTGCAACGGGGCCACGAAGGGCAATCAGGGGGCCACGAAGGGCTGCAACGGGGCCACGAAGGGCTGGAACGGGGCCACGAAGGGCAGCGAGGGGGCCACGAAGGGCTGCAACGGGGCCACGACGGGCAGCGAGGAGGCCACGAGGGGCTGCAACGGGGCCACGACGGGCAGCGAGGAGGCCACGAGGGGCTGCAACGGGGCCACGAAACAAAGCGAGGGGGCCACAAAGGGCTGCAACGGGGCTACGAAACAAAGCGAGGGGGCCACGAACGGCTGCAACGGGGCCACGAAGGGCAGCGAGATCCTGATTCCTAGGTAATCTGCGAAGGAGTCCTAAGCGTGAGCGCGACTCCTGGGTGCCTGGGTGTCGGGGGCGCGGCGCTGGAGTAAATTGCCAGAAATTCCAACGCAAGGGCGCTATTCTCCACTAAATTGCAAACAGGTCTCCAGCGAGACCGCGACTCCAGAGCGCAGGAGGAGCGATTCCTGAATAAACCGTAAGGAAGTCCCAAGCGAGAGCGCGATTCTTTGATAACATGCGAGGAAGTCTCGGGCGGGAGCGGGGGTCCTGGCTAAATTGTGAGGAAGTCTCAGGCGGGAGCCGTTGTTGTTGTAACCCGGGGGCCAGGGGGCCAGTTTGAGCAGGACGACTTTCCTTGACAAAAAAAAAGGTGCGAGCCCCCGGGGGGGCACTTCAATTGAAAAGAACAATGTGCACCGGTGGGGGGGGATCAACAATACTTATTCTTCAAGAGTGAGAGTTCAACAACAACAACAACAACAACAACAACAACAACAACAACAACAACAACAACAACAACAACAACAACAACAAAAACAACAACAACAACAATAAAAACAACTACAATCATTTCAAAACTGTTCGCCCTTATATGCTCGAGTGTCCAATAACGCGTATTTGCCACACCCTCAATACCCGACCTCTTCGTCTTCGATCGAACCCCTTTTGGGGGGTATACCTTTCTTCCCTGCAGGCCGGGCCCCAGCAAGCGGCGGGGCGGCCGCGGACCGTCGGCTTGGCCAGCGGCAGCGCTGATCGGCGGGGCGGCCGCGGACCGTCGACCCGACCCCAAGAGGGACGGACTGGGGACCGACCACGACGACGACGACGACGACGACGACGACGACGTCGAAGACGACGGCGACGACGACGACGACGAGCGAAAGCGAGAGCGAGAGAGAACGACAGCAGGGCCGCGAAGGGCACGAAGTAGGCCACGAAGGGCGACAGCGGGGACACGAAGGGAATGCGTATGGGGCCACGAAGAGCGCGAACGAGCGTGGGCCACGAAGTGCAGATAATGCGGGGCCACAGAAGGCAACTATGGGGCCACTGAGGGTAGCAACTGGGCCACGTAGGACATGGAGGGGGACACAAATGGCGACAGCGGGGCCACGAAGGGCATGCACATGGGGCCACAGCGGGCGCAACTCCTGGGTGCCTGGGTGCCGGGAGCGCGGCGCTCGGGCAAATTGCAAGAAATTCCAACGCAAGGCTATTCTTCAGAAAGTTGCAAGCACGTCTCCACCGAGAGCGCGACTCCAGAACTCCGGGAGAACGATTTCTGAATAAATTATAAGGAAGTCCCAAGCGAGAGCGCGATTCCTAAATAGAATGCGAAAAAGTCTCGGGCGGGAGCGGGGGTCCTGGCTAAATTGTAAAAAAGTCTAAAGCGGGAGCCGTTGTTGTTGTGACCCGGGGGCCAAGGGCCCAGTTTGAGCAGGAAGACTTTCCCTGTCAAAAAACAGGGTGCGAGCGTCGAGGGGCACACTTTGATTGAGAAAAAACAGTATGCACCAGTGGGGGGGTCAACAATAATGATTCTTCAGAAATGACAGTTCAACAACAACAACAACAACAACAACAACAACAACAACAACAACAACAACAACAACAACAACAATAAGTTTAAGACCGTTCGCCCTTATATGCTCGAGTGTCCAACAACGCGTATTTCTCAAACCCTCGATACCCGCCCTCTTCGTCTTCGATCGAACCCCTTTTGGGGGGTATACCTTTCTTCCCTGCAGGCCGGGCCCCAGCAAACGGCGGGGCGGCCGCGGACCGTCGGCCTGGTCAGCGGCAGCGCTGATCGGCGGGGCGGCCGCGGACCGTCGACCCGACCCCAAGAGGGACGGACTGGGGACCGACCACGACGACGACGACGACGACCTCGACGACGACGACGTCGAAGACGACGGCGACGACGACGACGACGACGGCGACGACGAGCGAAAGCGAGAGCGAGATATAACGGCAGCAGGGCGACGAAGGGCACGAAGTAGGCCACGAAGGGCGACAGCGGGGACACGAAGGGAATGCGTATGGGGCCACGAAGAGCGCGAACGAGCGGGGGCCACGAAGTGCAGATAATGCGGGGCCACAGAAGGCAACTATGGGGCCACTGAGGGTAGCAACTGGGCCACGTAGGACAATGAGGGGAACACAAATGGCGACAGCGGGGCCACGAAGGGCATGCACATGGGGCCACAACGGGCGCGACTCCTGGGTGCCTGGGTGTCGGGAGCGCAACGCTTGGGCAAACTGCAAGAAATTCCAACGCAAGGCTATTCTTCAGCAAGCAAGTCTCCACCGAGAGCGCGACTCCAGAGCGCTGGGAGAACGATTCCTAAATAAATTATAAGGAAGTCCCAAGCGAGAGCGCGATGTCTGAATAAACTGCGAGGAAGTCTCGGGCGGGAGCGGGGGTCCTGGCTAAATTGTAAGAAGGCTAAAGCGGGAGCCGTTGTTGTTGTAACCCGGGGGCCAAGGGCCCAGTTTGAGCAGGACTTTCCCTGTCAAAAAACAGGGTGCGAGCGTCGAGGGGCACACTTTGATTGAGAAAAAACAGTATGCACCAGTGGGGGGGGTCAATAATAATGATTCTTCAGAAATGACAGTTCAACAACAACAACAACAACAACAACAACAACAACAACAACAACAACAACAACAACACCAACAACAACAACAACAACAACAGCAACAGCAACAGCAACACAACAGCAACACAAAAACATCACAACAACAGCAACAACAACAACAACAACCACAACCACAACCACAACCACAACGATAACCACAACAACAACAACAACCACAACCACAACCACAACCATAACCACAACAACAGCAACAGCAACAACAACAAGAACAATAACAACAACAATAACAACAACAACAACAATCATTTTAAGACTGTTCGCCCTTATCTGCTCGAGTGTCCAATAACGCGTATTTCCCAAACTCTCGATACCCGCCCTCTCCGGCTTCGATAGAACCCTTTTTGGGGGTATACCTTTCTTCCCTGCAGGCCGGGCCCGGGCAAGCGGCGGGGCGGCCGTGGACCGTCGGGTTGGCCAGCGGCAGCGCTGATCGGCGGGGCGGCCGCGGACCGTCGACCCGACCCCAAGAGGGACGGACAGGGGACCGACCACGACGACGACGACGACGACGACGACGACGACGACGACGACGACGACGACGACGACGACGACGACGACTACGTCGACGACGACGGCGACGACGACGACGACGGCGACGACGACGACGAGCGAAAGCGAGAGCGACAGAGAACGACAGCAGGGCCACAGGACACGAAGTAGGCCACGAAGGGCGACAGCGGGGACACGAAGGGATTGCGTATGAGGCCACGAAGGGCATACGTATACTGGGCCGCGAAGGGCAACGAGGGGGCCACGAACGGCAGCGAGGGGGCCACGAAGGGGTGTAACGGGGCCACGAAACAAAGCCAGGGGGCCACTGAGGGCTGCAACGGGGCCACGAAGGGCAGCGAGGCCACGAGGGGCTGCAACGGGGCCGCGAAGGGCAGCGAGGGGCTGCAA